TTTTTGTATTTTTAGTAGAGATGGGGTTTCATCATTGTTGACCAGGCTGGTCTAGAACTCCTGACCTCATGATCCACCCGCCTCAGCCTCCCAAAGTACTGGGATTACAGGCGTGAGCCACTGCACCTGGCCTGCTCTGACCCCCTTTTAAAAGCTTGGCTCATCCTACTCCAATACCCCCATCCCTCTTTCCAGCTTGACTTTTCTCCGCAATGTTTGCTGAATGAATGAATGAATGAATGAATGAATGAATGAATAATAAATATATAATGATTATAAGACTTAATAAAGTAATGCTAATATTAATCATGATCCTTTTGTTGGCAATCATATATTTCTTTATTTCTTTTCTTTCTTTTCTTAACTGAGTTGGGGTCTCACTCTGTCACCCAGACTGGAGTGCAGTGGCAAGATCACAGCTCACTGCAACCTCTGCCTCCAGCCTCCCAAGTAGCTGGGACCACAGGCACACACCACCACACCTGGCAATTTTTTTGTATTTTTAGTAGAGGTGGGGTTTCACCACATTGCCCAGGCTGGTCTTGAACTCTTGAGCTCAAGCGATCCTCCTGCCTCAGCCTCCCAAAGTGCTGGGATACCAGCTGTCAGCCACCGCGCCTGGCTTGGCAATCATGTATTTCTAGTATCCAGCATGTATTGGACACAGCAGCGTGCAGGTCTTAGTACCAAGAGCTTTTATACATATTGCCCAGTGTAATCCTCACAATAAGTCCAGGAGGTTGGTGCCATTGTTATACCCATTTTCCAGATGAGGAAACTGAGGCACAGAGAGGTGAATTCGCTTTCCCAGGATGCCACAGCTGGTAAATGATGGAGCCAGGATATGAGGCCTGGCCTTCCAACTCGTGAGCCTGGGCTCTCAGCTCCTCTGGATTTCTCTCTCATCCCCTTCTCCAGCAACCTTGACCATGGACCAGCCGGCCGGCCTGCAGGTGGACTACGTCTTCCGGGGTGTGGAGCATGCCGTGCGGGTGATGGTTTCTGGGCAGGTGCTGGAGCTGGAGGTGGAGGACCGGATGACGGCTGACCAGTGGCGGGGCGAGTTCGATGCTGGCTGTGAGTGTGCCTGCCTGGGGTGGGCTCACGTTTCCTCTCCTGGGATCAGCTTCTCCCAGAAGATGAGGCCACCCTGAATCCTGCCCACCCGCCTCTTCTATGTGGTTATAAAACCCACCAGAGAGCAGAATTTAGCTCCAGAAGCTCTCCAGTGTGGGGAGGGATGTAGGTCTTGGTGCTCAAGCCAGAGACACTGGAGTTGGGTAGAATTGGAGAGCTTAGATGCCTTGCCCTGGGGCTGGGCAAGCCGTCAGACCTCAGGAGAGACTTTTCTCCCCACCCAGTCATTGAAGATTTGACTCACAAGACAGGGAACTTCAAACAATTCAACATCTTCTGTCATATGCTGGAGTCAGCCCTCACTCAGGTAGGGCCCGGGGTGGCGGGTGCGGGTGGGAGGGGGGTTCTGTCTTCCAGGTTCCTGGGGGGTTGATGCCCAACTGATGTGTGTCAGACCCTCTACCTCTTCTTTCATCGTGGGAAGAGAGCGATCGTTTTCTTCTTTTGCCAAATGTAAATGGTTCATTTTGAATTTAATGATAGTTATTCTCATGTAGAAAATTCAGGTCACAGAGAAATACAAACAAGAAAGTAAAAATCACTCCATCCCTAATACTCGCTTCTG